TTTTTTTAAATACAGAGAGTGGTGGTGTCTGGAATGTACTGCCAGGTGTGGTGGTGGTGGTGGAGGCAGACATGAAAGAGAATGTTTAGAGACTTTTAGATAAGCACACAAATATGCAAGGAATGGAGGGATATGGAACAAGTGCAGGTCGAAGGGAATTAGTCTAATTTGGGCGGCATGACATTGTGGGGCAAAGGGCCGTTCCTCTGCTATACTGATCAAAATTCTAAGACCACAAGGGACTGGGTACCTGGTTGATATTTCCTTTTTTTGACTAAAACTAAGGGACATTGTTTAAGGATAGGAGGTCTTAAGATAATTTTTCTATCTCAGAGGATCATAAGAGTGTGGAATTGTCTCCCCAGAAGGTAGTAGAGGCTGAGTCTAACATTTATTCAATGTGGTGCTAGATTTTGGATAGATAAGGGAATCAAAAATTGTGGAGTACAGGATGGAAAGTGGAGATTTGTTTATTCATTCATGCGTGACAGGGATGTTGCTGGTTGGCCAGCATTTATTGCCCTTCCCTAGCTGCCCTTGATCTACCCTAGTGGCTTGCGAGGCCATTTCCAAGGGAAGTTGAGAGTCAACCACATTGCTGTGGATCTGGAGTCACATGTAGGGTAGGCCAGGTGAGGATGGCAGATTTCCTTCCCTGAAGGACATTGGAAAAACCCATCTGGTTCACTAATGATCGACAATGGTTTCATGATCATCTGTTGATTCTTAATTCCAGATTTTTTTTTATTGAATTAAAATTCATACTCAGGATATGAACCTGGGTCCCCAGAACATTAGCTGAGTTTCTGGATTAATAGTCTAATGATAATACCTTTAGGCCATTGCATCCCCTTAACTGGGACCACAAGAAGATCAGCCATGATCTAATTGTAAGGTGGAGCAGGCTCAAATGGTTAAATGGCCTACCCCTGCTCCTAAATTCGTATGTAACTCTGTGAATATTATCTAAATAATCATTCATCATGAGATAATATACACTCTAATTGCAAGTGTGAACAGGTTATAAATTAATCTGAAATACAAATAGTGCTGGAGAAACTCTGGAGGTCTGGCAGCATCTGTGGAGAGAGTTAACTTTGAGAGCCCAAATGACTTTCTTTGATAATTATTTTATGATTGCCATTGCTGGCTTGAAAGGTAGATGCAGGTCATCGATAAATTTCATTGTATGTTTTCTAGAAAGAAATGCAACAAAAACAATTGTTATGGGCCCTGGAGAAGGGAGGTCTCACAATGTAGTGTTTTGCATAGAACGCGGAGGTTTTCAATTTACCTTGTTTTACAGTACTGTTTGTGCGGGTTAGTTTTAAATAAGGGGTGAAAAGACATCAGGGAATCTGTTAATTATTATGAATTGTGTTTACTTGTATACAGGTAGCGAACATTCACTGGGCATTAACTTGACCTGTGGTTGGTTCACTCGCTGAGGTGATTCATTAGTTTGCAGATGTTTTGTTAAACTGCTAGGTAACATCATCAGTGCAGCCTCCAATGACGCGTTGTTGTATTTTTCCGCTTGCTATTAAACTCTGGGGTCCGTTGGAGTTGATTACCTCATTTATTTTTTTTTGTTTTCTTTGCACTGGTGTCTATAAAGGGTCTAATTCTATGTGTTTATTGATGTTCTTCTTGGTGGAGAACGAGGCCTCCAGGAATTCCCGTACCTGTCTCTGCTTGGCTTGTCACAAGATCCTGATGTTGTCCCAATTGAACTGGTGCTCCTCCTTGTATGTATGCAGACGAGTGAGTATTGGCCATGTCTTTTTGTTACTAATTGGTGTTCACGTATTCTCATAGCCAGTTTTCTTCCTGTCTGTCCAATGTAATGCTTGTCACTGTCCTTGCATGGAATCTTGTATATTGCATGGAATCTTGTATATTGCATGGAATCTTGTATATTGCATTGGTTCTGTCCATGGTGGGTAAGGGGTCTTTGGTTCTTGTTAGCAGTTGGCGTAGGGTTGATGTAGGTTTGTGTGCCACTCTGATGCCCAGTGGCCGTAGGGTACCCCCCCGATTCTACAGCCTCCCAAAAGGTACACAAACTACCCCTCACCAGCCCCTCAGACCCACAGTCTCTCTTCCAGGCACAGCAACACACAGGTTAGCCAAGGAATTACAACGAAGACTAAAGCACCTCATCAGCAACTCAACACACTCAATCCACTCAGCCCAGGAGATCCTCAAAACCCTCAAAGACATAAGAATAGATGAGGACGAGACCATGGTATCCTTTGACATTACCACCTTATTAACATCAATCAATATACCACTAGCAAGAGAAACGCTAGCCACGCTACTGAAGGAATCGGACCAGAATAACACCATCCCCACAGAGAACATGCTGAAATTACTGGACCTATGCCTCATAACCCACTTTACCTTTAATAGCCAGATCTACGAACAAATCAATGGGACATCTCTGGACTATTAGCAGAAGCAGTGATGCAGAGATTTTAAAGCATGGCCCTTCCACAGATCCAACCCAACTATGGATCCGATATGTGGATGACACTTTCGTCATCAGTAAATTAACTAAACCAGAAGAAACACACCAAATTGTAAACAACATTTTCACCATCGTCAAATTCACCAGAGAAGAAAAGAACAAATAGCTCCCTTTCCTGGACGTGATGGTAGGACGCAGGGCCAACGGGGAATTTCTGACCAAGGTATGCAGAAAGACCACACACGTGGATCAAGTCCTAAATTTCAACAGTAACCACCGCAACACCCACAAATGGAGTTGCGTGAAAACACTATTCAAACAAGCCACAAGACACTGCAGCATCCCAGAACTTTGCCAAAACAAAGAAGAATACTTCCACCAAGTATTTAGAGACAACAATACCTGAACAGCTGGGTCTGATGATGCCTGTCACACATACAACAAGAAGATACAGTACACCCTGACACACTTATCATGTTTCCATACATTAAAAACATATCTGAACTGACCTCAAGACTCCTACGGGCACTGGGCATCAGAGTGGCACACAAACCTACATCAACCCTACGCCAACTGCTAACAAGAACCAAAGACCCCTTACCCAGCATGGACAGAACCAATGCAATATACAAGATTCCATGCAAGGACAGTGACAAACATTACATTGGACAGACAGGAAGAAAACTGGCTATGAGAATACGTGAACACCAATTAGTAACAAAAAGACATGGCCAATACTCACTCGTCCGCATAAGTACAGACAAGGAGGAGCACCAGTTCAATTGGGACAACATCAGGATCCTAGGACAAGCCAAGCAGAGACAGGCACGGGAATTCCTGGAGGCATGGTTCTCCACCAAGAAGGCCATCAATAAACACATAGAATTAGACCCTATATAGACACCACTGCAAAGAAAACAAAAAAAAAAAACGGAAATGAGGTAATCAACTCCAACGGACCCCAGAATTTAAATATCAAGCGGAAAAATACAACAACGCTTCATCGGAGGCTGCACTGATGATGTTACCCAGTGGGGTAATGAAAAGTCTGTAAACTAATGAACCAGCTCGGCGAGCGACCCAACCACAGCATCCACAACCTGAGCTACAAATCTACTCAAGAATATTCATTTTAGCTCTCAGTAAGTAAACAATAATTCCTAAACCATTTATGCTTTGCTATTTTTCATTCTTTCATCGGACGTGGGCATTGCTGGCTCAGCCAGCATTTATTGTCCTTTCCTAGTTACCCTTGAGAAGGTAGTGGTGAGCAGCCTTCTTGAACCTCTGCACTCTGCGTGCTGTAGGTAAACCCACACTGTTGTTATGGAGGGAATTCCAGGATCTTGACCTGGCAACAGCAAATGACAGTATATTTTCGAGTCAGAATGGGGAGTGGTTTGAAAGAGAACTTGCAGGTGGTGGTGTTCCCATGTATCTGCTGCTCTTGTCCTTCCAGATGGATGAGATCATGCATTTGGAAGGTACTGTCTAAGGATTTTTGGCAAGGTTCTGTGGTGCATTTATAGATTGTATACTCTGCTGCTACAGAATGCCGAAGGTGGAGGGAGTGCACACTCATGGATGTGGTTCCAATCAAGCAGGCTGCTTTGTCACAGATGGTGTCAAACTTCTTGACTGTTATTGCAGTTGCAAGCAGGGTGTATTCCATCACACTCCTGATTTGTGCCTTGTAGATGGTGGACAGGTTTTGGGGAGTCAGTGGTGAGTTACTTGCTGCAGGATTCCTAGCCTCTGACCTGCTCTTGTAGCCACTGTATTTATATCACAAGTCAATCTCAGTTACTGATCAATGGTAATAACTCTCAGGATGTTGTTAGTGGGGGAATTCAGTGATGGTAACAGTAATTAGATTGTCTCTCATTGGAGATGGTCATTACCTGGCATTTGCTTGGCATAAAGATTACTTGTCACTTGTCAGTCCAAGCCTGGATATTGTCCAGGTCTTGTTGCATTTGCATGTGGACTGCTTCAGTATCTGAGAAGTCGAAAATGGTGCTGAACATTGTGCAATCATTGGTGAACATCCCCACTTCTAACCTTATGATGGGAGGGAAGGTCATTGATGAGGCAACTGAAGATGGTTAGGCCTAGAGATATCCTGCAGCTGAGATTATTGACCTCCAATAACCATAACCATCTTCCCATATGCTAGGTACAACTCCAACCAGCACAGAGTTTGCCTCCTGATTTCCATCGATACCAGTTTTGCTAGGGCTCCCTGATGCCACACTCAGTCTAAAGCAGCCTTGATGTCAAGAGCTATCACACTCACCTGTAATATGTAACTCTGTACGTATAAAAATGTGTAAATAAACTCTCAGTTCCATCCTTCACCAACTCTTTCTGAAATTGTCCAAGCAAGAGCTTGAAATATTGTATATTAGTATAATATATGCAATTCATTTTTACAATTACTTTCTCTTTCTAGCACTTCTTCTCAAAATCATAGGAAACTGATTCAAAGCAATAAGTGTCTTTTTTTAAGAATAGGAACTGCAGCAAGTACCTTTTAATGGCACCAGGTACAAATCCGGAGAAGGCAGGAAGGACTGGCAACATACCCAAAGATCTCATCCGCTGAAGAATCTGGTGCTATATGTTGGAATAAGGAAACACTCAAATTAGAAAGAAAGCAGAATTTTGCTCCAACGGTGCTTATTAGTTACAACTTAACAGAATGATTTCAGCAGATAATGAACAATCTATTTGTTTTGTAACTAGTATGCTTTACATGGTGGTTACGAGATGCACTGAATCTTGACATTATAAGTAAACCCATTAATTAAAGCAGGAACCAAGGGTTTATGCCAACCACAGAAGGGTTATTTATCTTGTACAATTCCACACTGCTTGGTGTTTTTCTGTTCTCTTGAGGAACATGGGCATTGCTGGCTGGCCAGCATTTATTACCCATTCCTAGTTACCCTTGAGAAGGTGGTGGTGAGCTATCTTTTTGAACTGTTGCAATCCATGTGCTGTAGGTAGGCCGACAATGCCATCACAGAGAATTCCAGGACTGTGATTCAGTGAAAAAGAAGAAACAGTGATATAGTTTAAAGTCAGGATGGTGAGTGGCTTGTAAAGAGACTTGCAAGTGCTGGTGCTCCCATGCATCCTGCTGCCCTTGTTCTAGACGGATGTGATCATGGGTTTCAAAGATGCTGTTTAAGGATCTTTGATAAATTTCTGTAGTCCATCTTGTAGATAGTACCCACTGATGCTACTGAGCATCGATGCTGTAGGGAATGGATGCTTGTGGATGTGGTGCCAACCAAGCAGGCTGCTTTCTCCTGGATGATGTCAAGCTTATTGAGTGTTGTTGGAGGTGCACCCATGCAGGCTAGTGGGGAGTATTCCATCACACTCCTGACTTCTACCTTGTAGATGGTAGACAAACTCTGGAGAGTCAAAGAACAAAGAACAAAGAACAAAGAAAATTACAGCACAGGAACAGGCCCTTCGGCCCTCCAAGCCTGCGCCGATCCAGATCCTCTATCTAAACCTGTCACCTATTTTCCAAGGATCTATATTCCTCTGCTCCCTGCCCATTCACGTATCTGTCTAGATACATCTTAAATGACGCTATCGTGCCCGCCTCTACCACCTCCGCTGGCAACACATTCCAGGCACACACCACATTCTGCGTAAAGAACTTTCCACGCACATCTCCCTTAAACATTTCCCCTCTCACCTTGAAATCGTGACCCCTAGTAATTGTGTCCCCCACTCTGGGAAAAAACTTCTTGCTATCCACCCTGTCTATACCTCTCATGATTTTGTAGACTCAATCAGGTCCCCCCTCAACCTCCGTCTTTCTAATGTAAATAATCCTAATCTACTCAACCTCTCTTCATAGCTAACGCCCTCCATACCAGACAACATCCTGGTGAACCTCCTCTGCACCCTCTCCAAAACATCCACATCCTTTTGGTAATGTGGCGACCAGAACGGTACACAGTATTCCAAATGTGGTCGAACCAAAGTCCTATACAACTGTAACATGACCTGCCAACTCTTGTACTCAATACCCCGTCCGATGAATGAAAGCATGCCGTATGCCTTCTTGACAACTCTATCGACCTGCGTTGCCACCTTCAGGGTTGTATTGAACACCCAGATCTCTCTGTGCATCAATTTTCCCCAGGGCTTTTCCATTTACCACATAGTTCGCTCTTGAATTGGATCTTCCAAAATGCATCACCTCACATTTGCCTGGATTGAACTCCATCTGCCATTTCTCCGCCCAACTCTCCAATCTGTCTATATTCTGCTGCATTCTTCGACAGTTCCCTTCACTATCTGCTACTCCACCAATCTTCGTGTCATCTGCAAACTTGCTAATCAGACCATCTATACCTTCCTCCAGATCGTTTATGTATATCACAAACAACAGTGGTCCCAACACGGATCCCTGTGGAACACCACTGGTCACAGTTCTCCATTTTGAGAAACTCCTTTCCACTACAACTGTCTGTCTCCTGTTGCCCAGCCAGTTCTCTATCCATCCAGCTAGTACACCCTGGACCCCATGCGACTTCACTTTCTCCATCAGCCTAGCTTGGGGAACCTTATCAAACGCCTTACTGAAGTCCATGTATATGGCATCTACAGCCCTTCCCTCATCTATCAACTTTGTCACTTCCTCAAAGAATTCTATCAAGTTGGTAAGACATGACCTTCCCTGCACAAAACCATGCTGCCTATCAATAAATAAGCCCATTTTCTTCCAAATGTAAATAGATCCTATCCCTCAGTATCTTCTCCAGCAGCTTCCCCATCACTGACGTCAAGCTCACTGGTCTATAATTACCTGGATTATCCTTGCTACCCTTCTTAAACAAGGGGACAACATTAGCAATTCTCCAGTCCTCCGGGACCTCACCTGTGCTCAAGGATGCTGCAAAGATATCTGTTAAGGCCCCAGCTATTTCCTCTCTCGCTTCCCTCAGTAACCTGGGACAAATCCCATCCGGACCTGGGGACTTGTCCACCCTAATGCCTTTTAGAATACCCAACACTTCCCCCCTCCTTATGTTGACTTGCCCTAGAGTAATCAAACATCTATCCCTAACCTCAACATCTGTCATGTCCTTCTCCTCGGTGAATACCGATGCAAAGTACTCATTAAGAATCTCACTCATTTTCTCTGACTCCTCGCATAACTTCCCTCCTTTGTCCTTGAGTGGGCCAACCCTTTTTCTAGTTACCCTCTTGCTCCTTATGTACGAATAAAAGGCTTTGGGATTTTCCTTAACCCTGTTTGCTAAAGATATTTCATAACCCCTTTTTGCCTTCTTAATTCCTCGTCTCAGATTGGTCCTACTTTCCCGATATTCTTCCAAAGCTTCGTCTGTTTTCAGTTGCCTAGACCTTATGTATGCTTCCTTTTTCCTCTTTGCTAGTCTCACAATTTCACCTGTCATCCATAGTTCCCTAATCTTGCCCTTTCTATCCCTCATTTTCACAGGGACATGTCTGTCCTGCACTCGAATCAACCTCTCTTTAAAAGCCTCCCACATATCAAGTGTGGATTTACCCTCAAACAGCTGCTCCCAATCTACATTCCCCAGCTTCTGTCGAATCTTGCTATAGTTGGCCTTCCCCCAGTTTAGCACTCTTCCTTTAGGACCACTCTCGTCTTTGTCCACGAGTATTCTAAAACTTACGGAATTGTGATCACTATTCCCAAAGTAATCCCCTACTGAAACGTCAACCACCTAGCCGGGCTCATTCCCCAACACCAGGTCCGGTATGGCCCCTTCCCATACTGCTCCATAAAACCCTCCTGGATGCTCCTTACAAATTCTGCTCCATCTAAACCCCTAACACTAAATGAATCCCAGTCAATGTTGGGAAAATTAAAATCTCCCATCACCACCACCCTATTGCTCCTACATCTTTCCATAATCTGTCTACATATTCGTACCTCTATCTCATGCTCGCTGTTGGGAGGCATGTAGGACAGCCCCAAAATTGTTACCGCACCGTCCCTATTTCTGAGCTCTCCCCATATTGCCTCACTGCTCGAGTCCTCCATAGTGCCCTCCTTCAGCACAGCTGTGATATTCTCTTGGACCTCCCTCTCTATCATGCCTGAAGCATCTATATCCTGGGCTATTTAGTTGCCAATCTTGCCCTTCCCTCAACCAAGTCTCAGTAGTAGCAATAACATCATACTCCCAGGTACTAATCCAAGCCCTAAGTTCATCTGCCTTACCTACTACACTTCTCGCATTAAAACAAATGCACCTCAGACCATCGGTCCCTTTGCATTCAGCATCTGCTCTCTGCCTACTCTTCCCCTTAGTCACACTGACTTCATTATCTAGTTCCTTACAGGCTTTAGTTACTACCTCCTTACTGTCCACTAACCTCCTCATTTGGTCCCATCCCCCGCCACATTAGTTTAAACCCTCTCCAACAGCGTTAGCAAAAGCACACCCTAGGACATTGGTTCCAGTCCTGCCCAGGTGTAGACCATCCAATTTGTAATAGTCCCACCTCCCCCAGAACCGGTCCCAATGTCCCAAAAATCTGAACCCCTCCCTCCTGCACCATCTCTTCTACTCTAGCCAGGAAGTGAATTACTCATTGCAGGATTCCTAGCCTCGCACCTGCTCTTGTAGCTATTGTATTGATACGGCAAGTCGGGCTCAGTTTCTGGTCAAAGGCAATAACCCCCGAGTATTGATAGTGGGGGATTCAGTAATGATAACACTATTGAATGCCAAGGGGTGGTGGTTATATCGTCTTATTGGTCATTACCTGGCCTTTGTGTGGCATGAAGGTTACTTGTCAGCCGAAGCCTGAATATTGTCCAGGTCGTGTTGTATGTGAACAGTATCTGAAAAGTTGCGAATAGCGCGAATATTGCACAGTCATTGGCGAACATCCCCACTTCTAACCTGTTCTGTTTTACAACTTTTCTTGAACTGCTCATTGAAAATAAATGACATTTTTTTTGCTGATTTCAGACATATTCAGTAGATTAAACTGTCTAAATTTTCAAAGTAGAATATTTTAAAGTATTTGAACATATTAGTGTTAGTATAAAATATAAGGCTTTAGATAACCTGTGTGATGGCAGCACCTTTTTATGTTGGTACAAAAGGAAAGAGTATAGCACAGGAATGATTATATTCACTATTTAATTTCATTAAAATTGTATGTTATTAGGAAATATAGTGTTAGTATAATCAAAAGCAGAAGGTTTATAAAAAAAATTTAATTTTCTGGCTGGATTGTGGCCTATGAACCATTCCTAGGCTAGATACATTCTGCAATATATCATTAAATCAAAATAAATAATCTTAACTAGTTTTGTATATTTGCAATTCATATATTACTTGCTCTATGTGCTACTCCTAGTTGTTCAAGTAAGACCACAATTTTTCATGACAGTTCATTAGAATTTAATAAATTTTGTATATATTAGATAGGGAACATGACAACTTGGGAGTGCTTAGCACAGTACTTCAATCACTACAAAGTGAAAAAAAATTGCAAGCTCTAATGTTGAAAGGTATGAAGATTCTAAGGACAGCAATAGTTTAGTGATGCTGATTGTTACCTGTAGACTCAACTGGCGTTTGTTCCAGGAGGCTGGCAATGGTCCTGCCCAGCTATGCATGTTCCCCAAACGACTCCATGCAAGAAATGCAGGACCAACAACAAAGTTGTCTATTTCAGTTTGATTGAAGCCCAATGAAATGTATACCTAAAACAAAGTGGGAATCATTCATCATTGCTTTGAATAAACAGCAACTCTGGACAGTTGCAAAGTGACCAACTCTGATCTGTAATTCACTCGTTGCTTTACTATGAACAGTAGGACTCAAATCTTGCTAATATCTTAACAAGTAACAGCACATGTTCAATCCTCAATAAGGACATGGGTAAGATAAAGATTTGGTGCAAGAGGAAATGTTGCAACAAGGGGATGAAGTTGTTTGATGGACCAGATAAAAAGCATTAGGATTGTTCTGATGGAAGAAGAGTTGGAAATGGTGTACACTTGGAGGGTTAACTTTTGTTCTCCATATATTATCAACTATAACTTGGGTATACAACTTGGACAGAGGAATGGCTAACGAACAGAAAGCAGGCAGTCAGAACAAATAGGTCTTTTCTTTGGTTAGCAAATAGTGAGGTGCCAGAGTTTGATCTTCAGGCCTCTAACAATTTATACTGTCTTAATGACCTGAATGCACGGATAGAAGATACCATAACCGAATTTGCAGATGACACTGAAGTAAATTTCTATAAAGAAATAAGAAATTTACAAATGGATATGAATAGTTTAGGTAAATGGACCAAAAATTGGCAGAGGCGTTTAACATGGATAAATGTGAGCTTATTCATTTTGGTCAGAGGGATAAAAAGGCAACTTATTATCTATATAGGGAGAAATTTCAGAGTACTTAGTGCAGATGGATGTCCCTGTGCATGAGTGGCAGAAAACTAGTATGCAGGTACAGCAGGTAAAAAGGAAGGCAAATGGAATTGAGTATAGAAGTATTGCTACAACTGTGCAAGGAATTAGTGAGACTGCACCTGAACTACTGTATACAGGTTTGATCCCCTTACTTGAGGAAGGTTGGAATTGCACTGGAGGCAGTTCAGAGGAGGTTCACTAGATTGGTTCCAGAGATGAGGAGTTTGGATTATGAAGAAATTGAGCAGTTTGGGCTGTGTAGAGTTTAGAAGAATTAGAGGAGATTTAATTGAGATTGATGAGATCCTAAAGGAGATCGACAAAATAGACATAGAGACAATGTTTCCTCTTGTGGGACAATCTAGAATGAAAGGTCATACAATTTGGATAAGGTGTAGCAGATTTAAAACAGAAATCAGGGGAAATTACGTTCCTTGAAGGGTTACAAATCTGTGGAATTCAGTACCCCAGGGTGCAGTGGATGCTGGGACACTGAGTAAATTTAAGGAGGACAAGTTTTTAATTCGTAATGAGTTGAAGGTTTATGCAGAGTGGGCACAGAACTGGACCCCTGGCGTTCTTAGAGCGCACAGATCAAATTATGCAGATGACAAATGTAGGAACTTCAGGAGGACATAACTGGTTAAAGTTTAGACAGCCAGTTGCTAGTCTAGTATTATAACCACACAATATTGTACCAAGTGGCTTCAATAAACTTGTAGCTAAACTGTTATATTATACGAATGACCTCTTTACAAAAATAATTTCATTTGGGATGGGAAATCATAATGAAAGGCTTAAGAATATGATCAAAATTTACAGCTTTCTCTAATATCTGGACTGTGGAGAAAAGGGGAGATGTAAAGGTTGGTGAAGAGGAGATGGGCAACATCTTAGCAAAAATATCTTTAGGCATCAGGGGCAGTAATGGAAAACATTCAGTGGAGTTGTTGGCAGTCAATTGTACATCTCCATGAAGGCAGCAGGTTTGATTGGACAGATTCTTTCGGAAAGGATGTTTCACATTTCCTAGAAGATTTAGGATTGTGCTAAGACTATCAAATATTTACAGCAATAACAAATAAATCCTACTGAAACCTATCCATTTAACTTAAAGAGTATATTAAATTAAATTTGAATAGCAAGCTACAGATAAGAAAAGTTCACATACATTTTAAGATTTGCAGCAAATAGTCCGAAATCCTCAATAAGGTTATGGCCAGACATTTTAAAATCTTTAAAACTTGCAGGAACATTTTACCTTTTGCCATATGGCTTCTTGACCAGTAAATGCTAATGGCATATTAATACCATTCAATGCCATCCAGTCAATTTCTCTCTCCCACCGCTCCCAGTCCCACCAAACAAAAGAGTAGCTGTATGCACAGACATTCTGATAGTAATGGAATCTAAGTACAATCATAAAGAAAACATTACAAAAGGTGGATCAATTTTCAGAAATTTGTCTAACATATTACTTAAGGTATTTAAAAGTTAAAATGATAAGAAAGTTAATAATATTACCTCCTACCAACCCCCACCTCATCCTGTGCACATGATAGTATTTCAAGGTCACTTCTCATTTCTTTAATCAGCAGTGGAGTCTAAATTACTATGACCTGATATAGGAAAGAGTTTGTACCATTCTTTTTATTACACGTGCACTGATTCTCAGTGTACTAATTCCCTCCCCCCCCCATAGGCTTATTATCACTATATACCCATTTAGGCATTTATTTTGAGACTGCATCATATTAGCAGTCACTGGGTAGGTGTTTGTCTTTAATTTTATTAGTAGATAGGGCAGCACCTGTGAGACGTAAATCAGAGAGAAGTCAAATGTCCCTGACAACGATGTCTGCAGGAAATGTGTCCACCTACAACTCCTCTCAGACCATATGGATCAGTTGGATAGGCGGGTAGACTCACTGACAAATGTATAGGAAGCAGAAAGTTCTGTAGATTGGAATTTCAGGAATGTGTTCACAACAAAGGTTCAGCCAGATAGATGGGTGACTGCCAGGACAGGCAGACAGGCAGTGCAGGAGTCCCCCGTGGCTATTCCCCTCTCAAATAAGTGTACTAGTTTTGATACTTTTGGGGGAGGGAGTGGTTGGCATCTCGGAGAAAGCAACAGCAGCAGCCAGATCACAAGCACCACGTTGGCTCTGTTGTACAGCTGGGAGGGTCAAAGTGTAGATGAGTGTAAGCGATAGTGGACTCTATAGACAGGGGCATAGCTAGGCGTTTCCATGGCCACGAGTATAACTTCAGGATCATGTATGGCCTCCCTGGTACCAGGGTCAAGGTTGTGTCAATGACTAAGAATACTGCAATGAGTAATAAGACCCTAAGACATAGGAGCAGAAATTAGGCCAGTCGGCCCATCGAGTCTACTCCGCCATTCAATCATGGCTGATAAGTTCCTCAACCCCATTCTCCCCATAATCCTTGATCCCCTTGATAATCAAGGACCTATCTATCTCAGTCTTAAAAGTACTCAATGACCTGGCCTCCACAGCCTTCTGTGGCAGTGAATTCCATAGATTCACCACTGAAGAAGTTTCTCCTTATCTCTGTTCTAAAAGGTCTTCCCTGTACTCTAAGGCTGTGCCTCGGGTCCTAGTCTCTCCTACCAATGGAAACATCTTCCCAACATCCACTCTGTCTAGGCCATTCAGTATTCTGTAAGTTTCAATTAGATATCCCCTCATCCTTCTGAACTCCAACGAGTATAGTCCCAGAGTCCTCAAACATTCCTCATACGTTAAGCTTTCCATTCCTGGTTCCATTCTTGTAAACCCTCTCTGAACTCCCTCTAGGGCCAGTACATCCTTCTTGAGATATGGGACCCAAAACTGCACACAATACTCCAAATGTGGCCTGACCAGAGCCTTATAAAACCTCAGTAGTACATCCCTGCTTTTATATTCAAGTCCTCTCAAAATAAATGCCAACATTGCATTTGCCTTCCTGACTACTGACTCAACCTGCAAGTTTACCTTGAGAGAATCCTAGACTAGAACTCCCAAGACTCTTTCTACTTCAGACTTCTGAACTTTTTCCCCATTTAGAAAACAGTCCATGCTTTTATTCTTCTTACCAAAGTGCATGACCTCACACTTTCTCATGATGTACTCCATCTGCCACTTCTTTGCACACTCTCCTAACCTGTCCAAATCCTCCTGCAGCCTCCCCGCATCCTCAATACTAACTGTCCCTCCACCTATCTTTGTATCGTTGCAGACTTAGCCAGAATGCCCTCAGTTCCTTCATCTAGATCATTAATGTACAAAGTGAAAAGTTGTGGCCCCAGCGCTAACCCTTGTGGAACACCACTAGTCACCAGCTTCCATCCTGGGAAAGACCCTTTTAACCCCACTCTCTGCTTTCTGCCAGACAGCCAATCTTCTATCCATGCTAGCACCTTGCCTCTAACACCGTGGGCCCTTATCTTACTCAGCAGCCTCCTGCGCGGCATCTTGTTAAAGGCCTTCTTGAAGTCCAGATAGATAACATCCATTGGCTCTCCTTGGTCTACCCTGCTCGATACTTCCTCAAAGAATTCTAACATATTTGTCAGGCATGACCTCCCCTTGATGAAACCATGCTGACTTTGCCCTACTTTACCATACACTTCCAAATATTCAGAAATCTCATCCTTTACAATTGACTCCAAAATCTTATCCACGACCGAGGTTAGGCTAATTGGCCTGTAATTTTCCGTCTTTTGCCTTACTCCCTTTTTAAACAGGGGTGTCACATTAACGATTTTCCAGTCCTCTGGGACCCTCCCTGACTCTAGCAATTCCTGAAAGATCACCACTAATGCTTCCACTATCTCTTTAGCTATCTCCTTTAGAACTCTGGGGTGTAGTCCATCTGGTCCAGGTGATTTATCCACTTTCAGGCCAATCAGTTTTACTAGCACCTTTTCCTTGGCGATGGCCACCATACTCAGCTCTGCCCCCTGACTCTCTTGAATTTTTGGGAGATCACTCGTGCCTTCCACCGAGAAGACTGACGAAGTAATTATTCAGTTCCTCAGCCATTTCCTTGTTCCCCACTACTATCTCTCCACCGTCATTTTCCAGTGGTCCAATGTCTACTTTTGCCTCTCTTTTGCCTTTTAATATATCTAAAAAAACTCTTACAGTCTTCACTTATATTACTGGCCTAGCTTACCCTCATATTTAATCTTCCCCCTCCTTATTTCTTTTTTTGTTGCCCTCTGTTGGTCTTTGTAAGCTTCCCAGTCCTCTGGTTTCCCACTGCCCTTCGCTACATTATATGCTTTCTCTTTTGCTTTTATGCCATCCTGGACTTCCTTAGTTAGCCACGGTTGCCTCATCCTCCCTGTACGATGCTTCTTTTGCCTAGGAATGAATTTTTGCTGCATCTCCTGAATTACTCCCAGAAACTCCTGCCATTGCTGTTCCATTGTCTTTCCTGCTAGGCTCCTCTTCCAGTCAATTCTGCCCAGCTCTTCCCTCATACGTCTGTAGTCGCCTTTATTCAGCTGTAATATCGTTAACTCTGATTCTATCTATCTAACGCATCTCCTGACTCCCCAAAGCCTGTCCATCATCAAGGAACAAGGCAGGAGTGCAATGGAATACTCTCCACTTCCTTGGATGGGTGCAGCTGCAACAAAACTCAAGAAATTTGATACCATTCAGGACAGTGCAGCCTGCTTGATTGGTACAATATCTACAAGCATCCACTCCCTCCACCACTGACGCTCAGTAGCAGCAGTGTGTACTATCCAGAACATGCTCTGCAGAAATTCAAAGATCCCCAGATAGCACCTTCCAAATGCACAACTTCCTTCTCGAAGGGAGGAACAGATACTTGGGAACACCACCACCTTGAAGTTCCTCTCCAAGCCGCTCTTCTGGATTTTGAAATATAATTGCTGTTACTTTATGGTCAGAGTCATACAGCACGGAAACAGACCCTTCGGCCCAACTTGTCTGCACCAATCAGGCATCCCAATCTGGCCGAGTCCCATTTGCCAGTATTTGGCCCATATCCCTCTAAACCTTCCGTTCATATAACCATCCAGATAACTTCTAAATGTTGTAATTGTACCTGCTTCCACCACTTTCTCTGGCAGGTCATTCCACACATGCACCACCCCTTGTGTGAAAAAGTTACTCCTCAGGTCCTTTTTAAGACTTTCCCCTCTCTCCCTAAACCTATTCCCTTAAGTTTTGGACTCCCCACCCTAGGAAATCCTGGAATTCCCTGCCTAAATGGCATTGTGGGTCAACCCACAGCAGGGGCACTGCAGCACTTCAAGAAAGCAGCTCTCCACCTTCTCAAGGACAACTAGGGACATACATTAAATGCTGGCCAGCCAGCAATGCCCAAATACCACAAAAAATAAATTTAAAAAGAGGGCAAAGGATATTCTGATAGGGGAGGGTAAGCAGCCAGAGGCTGTGGTCCACATTGGTACTAATGACATAAGAAGGAAGAGAGAATGAGGTCCTGCAAAGAGAATTTAGGGAGTTAGGTAGAAAGTTGAAAAGCAGGACCTCTAGGGGTGTAATCACAGGATTACTCCCTGTGCCACACGCTAGTGAGGCCAGAAATGGGAAGATAATACAGTTGAATGTGTAGCTTAACAGCTTGGTCTGGGGCACGGTGTGGGGGCACTGGGTGTGTGTGTGGGGGGGGTGCTGTGTGTGGGTGGATGGGGGTGGGGATGTGCATGGGGACATTCAGATATCTGCATCATTGGGCTCTCTCTCAGGGCAGGTTGCACCTATACAGGAGCAGCATCAATATCCTGGCAGGGAGGCTTGCTAGTGCCACTTGGAGAGTCTAAATGCGTGGCAGCGGGGTGGGAACCAGAGCAGTAGATCGCTGTGTGTGATGATTGAGGAGAAGGAAGAGGTTAAGTTAATTAAGTCTAATAGGAAGACAAACAGGACCAGGTTAACGAACACGATGGGTCTGGGGGTCTGAAGTGTATTTTAATGCCAGGAATATAACAGGTAAGGCAGATGAGTTTAGAGCCTGGATTAGTATGGAATGACAATGTTGTAGTCATTGCAGAAACTTGGTTGAGAGAAGGACAGGACTGGCAGCTCACTGTTTCCAGGATTTAGATGTTTCATACATGGTACAGAGGAATGTAAAAAGGGGTGGGGAGTTGCGTTACTGATTGATGAGAATGTCACAGCTGCATTAAGAGGACATCCTGGAGGGGTCATCCACTGATGCCATATGGGTAGAACTCAAGATCAAGAAAGGTGCAATCTTATGGAGTTATACTATAGGCCTCCTAATAGCTAGGGGAGACAGATGAACAAATATGTAGGCATACCATGGAAAGATGCCAGGGTTATTGTAATGGATGATTTTAACATCCCCAATACAGACCAAGGCTCCGTTAGT